TAAACCCTAAACCCTAAACACTCTCCAAGCCACTAGCCCAAATCGCACGCGGGGCAGATCCCCTCGAATCTCTGCGGTGGGCGCTGGGGACGCCTTGAGATCAGGGCGAGCACGGGTTTCGGATTTGGGGTTTCGGATTTGGGGTTTAGGAGAGTTTAGGGTTTAGGAGGAGTTTAGGGTTCTGGTTTAGGTTAGGGTTCAGGGGTTTTAGCGTTTTGGGGTTTAGGGTTTAGAATTTGGATTAGGGCTTAGGGTTCAGGGTTTAGGGTTCAGGGTTGTCTAAAAGTTTTAGGAGGCGCTTGATCGGTACGTTGCACGGTTTTAGGGAGTTGGCTCCAGGATTTTGCAGGGATTCCCGTTTGTAAGGGCTGCAAGGCTTTTCTGGGGTTTAAAGTTAGACCCTAAACCCTAAACCGTTTTGGGGGGGAGGGTCTGTGGTACCGGGTCTTTAGTCCCGTGTTTAGGCTTCAGTGTGTGCTTGAAGGCTCTTGAGTGTAAGGGTCTAGGGTTTAGGGTTTAGGGTTTAGGGTTAGGGTTTAGGGTTAGGGTTTAGGGTTTAGGGTTTAGGGTTTAGGGATAGATCTCGGCTTGAGGTACAGAAACCCTAGTCATAAACTCCAAGAGGATGCTGATGGAACCTCTATGGTACCTTACAGCACCCCGTTAGGGGACTCTTAAAGCGCCCCAACGGACCCTAAACCCTAAACCCTAAACCCTAAACCTTAAACCCTAAACCCTAAACCCTAAACCCTAAACCGTGTATGCCCGTACTATTCGTATGGCGAGGGATTGAGAAAGCCCCGGAGCACCGCCACTGCCCCTCCTTTCTCAGCGTCACAGGATTTGGTAACTAGGCTTATGAGCCAAGTAACCGTACCTATGACCTATGCTTACTTGTGGCCCCAATTCAGATCTTTAAGCCCTGACTTGTTGAGTACAGTGATCCTTGACGGGACTCTTTTTGCTTGTAGGAATCTGCAAAGCATTCGCTTTCTGCTCTCCTTCCCGGCTTGAGTGGAGAACTCGATTGCTGCTCTTGCTCCTTCTCTTCCTTCTTTCTTTACTCTACCTTAACTCTTTTGACAGCCCTTACCTCAAAGCCTAAACTGCAAACCCTACGCCCTGAATCTAACCCGAGAGCTAATAGGTCGAAGTGGCTGTCCCCAAGACCCTATGCTAAACCCTAAACCCTGAACCCTAGAACTTCAATCCTCTATCCTAACACCCAAACTCGAAACCCATACAGAAGCCTAGAAGGGGCCCCTTATAGTACCCTTTAAGGGGACCCTACCATAGAACCCCATAGGTACCCTTTAAAACGAGCCATACACCCTAAACCCTACACCCTAAACCCTAAACCCGATCCCTCAACCCTAAACCCTTGAAGGGTAGCCAGAAAGCCTCATCCTCGCCAGTCGAGTGGAACCTGGGTCAAAATTTGCGATGTCGGCTTCGGCGCGCAGGACGTCCAGGTAGCTTGCAGGTGGCACGGCTCCAGAAACCTAGGAGTCTGAGGTTCTTTTGGGTGGTTTGGGATTAAGGGCTTAGGGTTTAGGGTAGGGTTTAGGGTTTAGGGTTTAGGGTTTAGGGTAGAACCCGCTCCCCCATGGTTTCGGTTGCTGCAGGTACTGCAGGGTTTTGTCCATCAAGCGTTGTGTCGAGGGTTTATGCTTTGGAGGCTGAGGGGCCAAGGATGGAAAGGGATCGTTTCAAAACTTAACCCCAGACGATCCGCAGGCCTCAACTGTTGGCAGGAGTGGTCTGCAAGCATTGTGCGGTGTAAGAGGCTCAATACAGGGATCGGAACAATTACTGCCGTTCTCCCCTTACTCCCTATGTACACATATTGTCATATGCCCCCAAAGCCACAGTCTATTAAGCCCCAGTCTATTTATATCATTTTTTGTGGTATTCGGTGCTAGGCAGGCACACGGAGTTGTCCACCAAGCCCTCCTCAGGGTGTGTGCTAGGTGTTTTACTCCTTGGCTTTGGGAAAGTACGAGCTGTGCGGAGTTTGGGGCTCCTGTTCGGGGGTTTGAGGTTTGGCTGAGAAGTTTCCCCTAAACCCTAAACCCTAGTTTCAGGCTGTCCGACTGTGGGAAATCGCGACGGAATCCCTCAACCAGTTGAGCTTAACAACGAGGAAGGTCTGGATAGAAGCACCCACACCTGGCACGGTCTCAGGCAGCTGGGAATGTTATCTGGCTTCCTGCTGAAGGCCTGGGACTACACGGGCAGGCTGGGTGTCACGTCGTGGCTTGGCTGCAAGGAAGGAGCTTTTCCCATTGGACACCACGTAAGCCCCTCAACCCAAAACTGTTAAACCCCGAATCCTAAACCCTAAAGCATTGGGGTTTTAAGGATTTGGGGTTCAGGGTTTAGGGTTTAAGGTTTAGGGTTTAGAGTTTAGGGTTCAGATTTTAGGGTTTAGAGCTTCGGGTGTTAAGTTGCCATAACTGCGCGGTCATAGTGAAAACAAGACTTGTTCCTTATCATGGTTTGCTTACGAAAATTCCTGTATTCACGTAATTAACCCTAGACGCCAAACCCTAAACCCTAAACTCGAACAGCCCGCAGGAGTGATCTTGAGCAGGGGATGATGGGCATGGGCTGCCTCGGCACCGACACTCAGGCTGCATTTCGGGGTTGAGAAACTTTGAAACCCTGAAGCCCCAAACGCTGAATGCTGAGCTCCTAAACCGCAAGCCTCACATCGTAAACATAATTTCAGCCGTAAGGTGTAGGGTGTAGGGTTTAGCACCTGCACTTAGTAGGCCTGAATCGAGCTTGTTGGTGTTTGTAAGTACTGCCTCCGAATTTGTAGCCATGTTTACTACGTCCCGTGATTTTGAAGTAGCAACTATGGTTTTACTACTTGGCTCTACCTAGCGTCGTTCCAAGTGTTTCAGGCTTCGTTTCTTTGGAGAGGTATCTCCAAGAATCGTGTTTTTAGGTTTGAGGGTTTTGGGTTTCAAGAGAGGACTAGAGATTAGAGCAAAAAGAAAAGAGCTATGGCAACGAGGACTGCGTCGGGCCGTAGTAGCAGTTGCTTGCAGAGTCGTGAAAACCAGTACGAGAAAAAGGGCATTGAGTTCGTGCATGCAGAACGACGATAACGGTCAAAGTAACAACAGTAGTCACAAAGGCAATAACGACAGTGAGCGTGTGATAGTATCTTTTAAGTTACCTGTGAAGAAAAACACCAAAAACTGACCCTAAATACATAACTACGAAGTGACAAGACAACTAGCAATGGGCACATCCGATTTACTGGCTGCATGCTCTTTGGTTTACACGATGAGGCCTACCAGGCGCAGGATAGAACTGGTGAAAGGACCACGCATGAGCATTTTGCAGAGTCACCCTTATATAAGGGCGTAGTAGTTACAATGGGATTGTCATGTGTAAAGATAGTATACTTAAAATGAGGTGCAGGGAATACTACGGGCATGTTCCTAAAACCTAAACCCTAAAACCCTAAAACCCTAAGCCCTAAACCCTAAACCCTAAACCCTAAGCCCAAAACCCTAAATGCAAACCTTAACCCTAACTGCTTCCTGGCTTCTTGGCTTCCTGCGTTTTGTTCCTTCGTTGCTTTTTGGGTTTCAGCATCTCATCGAGGCTTTAGGGTTTAGGAGTGTAGGGGTTTAGGGTTTATGCTGTAGGGGTTCAGGGTTTATGCTGTGGGGTTTAGGGTTTATGTTGCGGGGTTTAGGGTTTAGGGGTTTAGGGCTTAAAGTGTTGAGTTTAGGGTTTAAGGGTTTAGGGCTTAAAGTGTTGGGTTTAGGGTCTAGGGTCTAGGGTCTAGGGTTTAGGGCTAAGGGACATGCAATCCTAGATCCTGAACTCTCAATCCTACACCCTGAAAATTCAACTCAAAGCCTACCCAAAGCCTGAACCCTTACCTGGATCCCAAATAACCTACCTGTTTTCTGGACTTATATAAGAAAGTCATCATTGGCAGGCCTAAAAACCAAGGTTTTACAGGGTCCAGGTAAGCCCTAAACCACCCTAAACCCTAAACGCCAAGCCCTAAGCCCCAAGTCCTGTGCTGCGCCGAAGGAATCGCAGCTCTCAGATTGCCCCGGCTTTGGTACGCCTGTGAACTCGTCCTGTAGCAGCAGGTCAGATGTAGGCCGGGTCATGGGGTTCAGGGGCTTAGGGGTTTAGGGGTTTAGGGGTTTAGGGTTTAGGGGTTTAGGGGTTTAGGGGTTTAGGGGTTTAGGGTTTAGGGGTTTAGGCTTTAAGGGGTTAGGGTTTAAGGTGTTGGGAGGCTTCGACAAAGCTTCGTTTATGAATCCTTTTTGGGTTCTTTTAGGGTTTAAGCTTCTTGGCTTTTGGTTGACGCTAGGCTCAAGAGTTGTCGCTTCAAGCTTTGGGAATTCAAGTTTTAGGCTTTCGGGCATTGGATTTCAAGGTTGAGGGTTTTTGGGGAGGGTTTGGACTTCGTGTTCTAAAAGCTTGATGTTCGCGAAGTTCTTTTTTGATACTTTTTCTTATGGTCTCTTCAGGAGGTCCTTACAGCTTCACGGTTTGAGGCTTCCCGTTCGATTGAACCCTTCACTGACGGGACAAGTGACACATTCCTTGTTGTGGATGATGCAGGGGTTTGTCTCCAGCAGTATCATGGAACCCTATACGCAGACAGCGGGTACAAAGGAAATTCGGTTTCCGCAGGCTCAAACCCTAAACTCGAAAACCCTCAAAACCTTGAGCCCTAAAGGGGTTTAGGGTATACCTGGACCCCAAATAGCCCACCTTCTTAAGGACCTATATAAAGACATCATACTAGGGAACCCCAAAAAGGAAGGTTTTGAAGGGTCCAGGTAGTCTAGGACATTTTCAGGTGGGTAGTTACCGTTATAGGAGCGTTCTAGAAGGTCTATATACCTTACTCCCACCTGTAGTTTCCTTTAAGGTAGGGTCCCTAAACCCTAAACCCTAAACCCTAAACCCTAAAAGGGGCTAAGGGATCCCCATGTTACCTTCCGGCAGTTTCGTTGGAGGCGTGCTCTGCTTGCCCAGCGCCTGGACGGACTCCGCGGCCAGCCTTTCAACGCGTGGAGTTCGGTGGTCGGGTACCTTGGGGCTTAGGGGTAAGGGTTTAGGGTTTAGGGTCTAGGGTTTAGGGTTTAGGGTTTAGGGGCTGTGCAGAACCCTAAACCCTTAACCCGAAGGTAGGACGGTTTTTTCAAAAGGTTGTCGGGTTTACTAGGTTCCCCAGTACTAGCCCTTCTGCCTTTGTTCTTGTTTCGGTACCCTTCTTACCAAACGGTACCTCAGAGGGTACCCTAAATGTTCGGAGGCTACTGCGGAACCTAGTTTATGGTTGTGGGCTAGTTGTTGTGGTGGGGTTTCGATTGTAGGGCTCTCGGGATCAGGGTCTCCCCTTCGTAAAGCAATGTACCTCAATCCTGAACCCTAAACTCAAAACCCTAAACCTTAAACCCTAAACCCCAAACTCAAAACCCTAAACCTTAAACCCTAAACCCCAAACTCAAAACCCTAAACCTTAAACCCTAAACCCCAAACTCAAAACCCGAACCCCCAAAGGGATCCTTAATGTGTTTTGAGACTTTAAGGTGTCGTTCCTACTTGCCGGATTGCGGAGTCTGTGGCAAATCGGCAGCCAAGGATAAGCGCTCACGGTGCCCGCATTTGTGGCTTGTCGGATGTTGTGTGGCATGCCAAGATCAAGACACTTGAAGAAGCCGGCGGATAGAACTCCGACAGAGGCATCCTAGTTTAAATGAGCCCCAAGCTCGTAAACTCTCAACCTACTTATATACTAGTAGCTTTACTGGTGGTATTATCGAGGTTTAGATACGGCCAGGGCAGTCTAGAAAATGGATCTGTTTAAAGGTCGTAAGGGCGGCTAGCACTCGCCGTGAAAGCCTCCCCAACAGCAGCCCGTCGGGTTTCTTTGGGGTTCTGCATTGGTTCTTGAAGGGTTCGGCAGAGAGGTTTTTTTAAAGGGTTCTCTCAGGGTGTTTTATTAGCTCTAGAAGGGTTCCACAGCGGTGTCGGGCTTTAAGGTATATTCCTTGATTCAGGGGGTGTTGGGCTCCCTGAGTACCTAAAAGAAGCATCCAAAACGAACGCTCCAGGCAATGGCACGCTCGAACACACCTAGATCCTAAACCCTAAACCCCTAAACCCTAAACTCCTACACCCTAAACTCCTAAACCCTGAGAAAGAGACACACACCCAGACATTGACATCTGAGCAGAACCCAGGATGCAGGCTTTCTTACACCC